TGCGCCGCCGGGCCTCCGCCTGCCCCCCGCCCCTCCTGGCCCTGGCTCTCCCCTGCGGGAGCCGGGGGGCTGCAGCGGACCCCGGCCCTACAGCCCCTGGATGGCCCCCGACCGCCAAAGGGGGTTTCCCCCGGGTGGGAGCATCCGAGTGTTGCCGAAATACGGTCACCTGGCACGTTTTCGTGAGGCTGAAAGCGTGGGCCTGGCTCTGCGCAGCGGAGGCACGTCCCTTTCCCTTCGCTCTTGTCTTCACCTAGAAACTCCCTTAAAGAATTATGTTTGTGTTGATTTACCACAAAGGGGAAGACAACAGGCAAGGCACTGGGATCACGACACAGCTTCAGTGCAATTTGGATATTTCTTGGATTTTTAGTAATAATATTTACGGGATTATTATTGAAAAGAGCAGGCCTGTGTAGTATCACTTTGTGGTAAACCACATTCATTAATCAGCTACTGAATATATCTCCTTACAGAGATGTTTTATGGGAAGCTACCCTTAGCCACGATGACTTCTGTAAACTGCAGGATCCCTGTACGTCCAGTGTCCAGACTGGGCTTCCCAGAGGTCTGGGTTGCTGCTTGTGGCATAGGAAAGCGATGGGACCTGCAGCGTCTCCCCGGGGAAGGCGCAGGGCTGCCGCGCTGGAGCGGCGGCAGTGCTGCCCCAGGCGGGACGCCGTCACGCACCCAAGCCAGGGCCCGCTCCTTCAGGGGAGGTTTCAAGATCCTTTCCAGCGGGCCATGCTCATGGGTGTAATCTCCCTGTAGGCCAGCTTCTCTCTTACTTGAAGTTGTTTCATACCTGGAAAATAAATGTCCCGAGTGTCTAATATCACTTGTGGAAAGGCTTAAAAGTAGTTTATTTCTTACAGCTCCACATATTCTTGCCATTTATTATCTGTGTCCAACTCATTCCTTTAAACAATAAATCTGTAAGCTCTTGGCTTCAGTCGGCTTCCATGGCACTGAGCCCCACTGATGACTTACGGTGCCCATTTTAAGGCCATTTTGCCAAGTCCTGAGGATTGCCAGAGGCTGTAGCTGTTGCCACTTGCAGGAGATGTCACTTCCAGCTCCCAGTGCTGGTCCCGCAGGCCACTGTCCCCAAAATCCTCTTCAGTGGAAGGGGACCTACCAGCAGGTTTGCTCTTACCCTGAATAGCTGGGCTATTCACCAGGTCTTTGTAAAATGGACAAGTTTGTGGTTTGTTTTTCTCTCTCTCCTTTTTTCACTGCTTCTCATTTTTTGGAGTCCTTGTCATCCCTTCAGGTGGATCTCAGCGTGATCAGAAGACAATTTGCCTACTCCATAAACTCCCGGTAGCCCCGTACACCACTTTCCACAGACCTGGCTGGCTGGGCTGTGTGGAAGCAAGGACCCAAATCTGAACAGGCTCTGTTTAGACTAGGGATAATAACCATTGTGGTGGAGGATGAGACATTTCCGACAGAAATCTGCTCAGTTTTTTCACCAGATACGTTTGCTTGTTTGTTTCTAGCCCACAGGAAATAAGGAGGAAAAACACACTGTTTTTCCTGGATTAAGCTTTGATGTGAAACGAGGCTTTACGAGACCTTACTATTTCCATTTTTAATCACCCTTGGTGAACTCATTTACTATAAATTTGAAACAATGTGAGATCATGTAAACAAAACCAGCCCAAGCCTGCAGCCCCAAGCAATCATGACTGCCCTCGCCCTGATCCCCCGCAGGGGAAAGCCGCGGAGCGTGAGGCTGCCGTAGGTGTTCCTCGCTGTAAACCCGGGTAGGGCTTTCCTGGCCTGCAGACCTGAATGCCGTTTGCAGTCGTTGGGGTTTAGCAGGGCCCGTACACCGTCGTGGGCTGGGTGTGAGCTGCATGGAGTGCCCACTGCGGCCAGGGAGCCTGCTGCATTCGCAGGGTCCACACGATTTTCGTGCTAAATGCTCGAAGTCAAGCAGAGCCTAAACAGGCGGAGCAGCTTCGGGTGTCCGGGCCGGTGTGTTCAAGCGGTAATGGGGGTGGAGGAGGAGACACTCGTGGGGCCATCTCCATGGGGGATGTCGGGGGTCCCTGCGGTCTCGGGTGGCTGCTGAGGGCGGGGAGCCCTTGCAGCCTTGACCTTCCTGGGCTGCCCCGCTCGGCGTGCATCGCCTGTGGGGAGGGATGGGGCTGGCTCTGAAGGGCGGGTGTGGGCAGCCCTGGGGAGCGGGGCTGTGTGTCGGCCTTCCCCGGCTGTCGGGGCACAGGTTGGGGCTGGGGGGGCAGAGCGCGGCCCGGGAGCATCCCTGGGGGGGGAGGGTGTCTCCCTGTCGGGGCCGGTCCAGGGGGTGGGGTTGCCCCGCTTCACGCCGTCAGGCCAATAAACAGGCACAGGGGGCGCGGCGGCCGGCCGGGGAGGGGCCGCTCTGCCCGGGGCCTGCAGCCGGCGGGGGAGGGCGCTAACCCCACACCCCCCCGGGAAAGGCGGGGGCTGGAGGGTTCGGGCACCCTCCCGGGTAGAGCCCTGAGCGACGTGCTCCGAGCGGGGGAGCCAAGCAGGACGGCACTCTTAACGTACAATGACGTTTTAAGGTACGTTTTTATTGTTTTAAAGTGAGGATAGGCTTTTCAGCTCCCGTAAATTCATCAGCTGGCGTGGACAGTTAAGCTGCTTTAAACCCCTGAAAGTAGCATAAGCGTTTAAGCCACCTTAGATGCTTAAAGCAATATAAGCTGTTAAAACGCCTTTAATCCTTAAGTGCTTAAATCACCTTAAATCTTGGGAGTTAGGTGAGAGATTGAGCTGCCTGGAAAAAAAGACCCCAACCCTAGTCCTCCCGTCCTCCCCCCCAAACCCTCAGTAAATGTTACCTGATGGGTGGTGGTGAAAAGGAATGAACTGTGGGGAAAATGGCTGGAGTCCTTGGTGCTCGCAGGGCGCTAAGAGCAGCATCGCATTCTAAAGAGCATGCCTGGTCTGCGCCTCGTCCACGTTAAAACCGCGGCGCTCCTTCCTCTCGCTCTCAAACCTTGGTGTGAACTCAGATCTTCTGTACCTTTTCCTGGCCAGTCCTGGAAGCTGAGAAGTGGAAAAGGGAAAATACATGGGCACTTGCCTGTCTGCTAGAGTGGGCAAGACTTGCTTCAATGCAGGCAGCAATAAATACTATCAATTTGTTAATCTGTCTGTTGCACGTTTTTTCCAAATCCTCTGCCTTGAGATCGCTTAGTTCCTTACCTGGCTATGTGCTGTATGTGGGGGCCTCTTTGCACCCCACCCCACCCCACCAGACCCTATGACCCATGGAGGTGCTTTGCTGATGTGATGAGCGTGAGGAGAAAGCTGCCATCGCTGATGGCTTCCCCAGCCTGACGCCCATATTCCTTTGTCACCAACCTGCAGGCAGCATCACGCTTTTCGGTTGCCGAATCGTGGGATAACTGTGGCTGGAACAGACCTCAGGAGACCATCTGGACCAACCCGTGCTCCAAGTTCACAGTTCAGCTAGGTGGCTTGCAGCCTTACCCAGCTGAGCCCTCACTGGGTTGCCTGCATGCTTACCCAGGACCTGGGAGGCTCAATTCAGGGCTGTGTCGCAACCTTCCTCCCCTTCCTGGAGAAAACTCTCAACTTTCAGCCCCTGGGCAGCCCGCAGGCTGGTTTCCCACCGTGGGAGATGGGAAGACCAGGATGGGTTTTCGGCCACACTGAGAGAAGTGATTTGCGGAGGGAGGCACGTACCCGTGGAGGGCAGCCAAGCCTTACCCAGCCCCAAGCACCCACCTTTCCCACATGGCTCCATGCTGCTTTCGCCCCCGAAGGGGGTCTGGCCCCACTGGCCGCTTACTGGTGGGAGTAGCCAGGCCAAGCAGGTTAGGGAGACGCTGGCCTCAGGGGCTCTGTAAGCATAAACTTCGGGCTTGAGGAATTACCCTTTGGTTAGTACTGTTGTAGAGGAATGAGAAAGCTGTGGCTTTTTAGCTCGCTCTCCAGCCCATAAAATGGCAGTGGTGAGGACAAAACAGTTTTTCTGCCCATGATGAAAAAAAAGTCTAGTGAAAATATCTGCTTACCTTTAAAAATGGGCTCCAGCATCACACAGCCAAAATATTATTACTATTTGAATCTCGCAATTGCATTTGATAGGAAAAAAATAGGATTGCACAGGTTTTGACGGGAGGCAGCTCGGCAACAGATCCCTCCTGACTCTGTTTCAGTGGCTGATAAGGTGGAATTTAACATTTTCCAGATCCGGGACTGGGCAGCAGTCTTGTTTTCTGTTACCACAACATTTAAAAGCTCCGTTGTCAAAAACTGCGTGTGCTGTAGATAGATCTTCCTCCCCCTCCCTGTTCTGAAAGGAACCCTAAAAA